TAATTCTGAAAAAGTGCACACAGCCAATCTGAAATGTAGGCGTACACCTGAAAATCCAGATTTCAGATCGCCACTGCAGTATGTCACATGTCATTATACAGCTGGCATGCCCGAAGACTCCACACACCGGCTTTCTGATGAGTGTGTGTAGGGATTTGTTGCTGGAACATTTGTTTTCAGGACGTTTCAGTGTGTGGGAGGCAGTTTTGCGTGCCGTTTTCTTCAGGGTTGTTAGGCTTCGTCAGGTCGGGATTTGTTGGCTGTGCCGCGATGCGATCTGGTGCGTGCGGATGCAGGCACTGCCCTCTCCCACACATGCGCGCTTGCTCTCTGTGGTACCGCTGCAGGTTTCTGTCCTGGAACCCTGGAATTCTAATAAATTCTGCTTTATGTGATTCCCACCACAAAGGGAGAAAACGCAGAGTGCGTTAATAATCGCATACTCTGCAGTTTTTAACATATTCCTGATGGGGCACAACTTCCATTCAGGTACCAATGAAAACAAAATTGTCTACTTACAGTATCATGCGTTTGATAATCCAAAGAATTCTCCACAGATCAGTCTCTGGCTCCATATGTTTCAAACCCTATTTCTCTTTCACTACCCACGTGCTTCTGTGGCGTTGGAGGACCCATTTATCTTGTGAAGTGTAGGGCCTATTTTTTCATCACGATGTCAGATCAAAGCGTATCTGGAAGCCATTCCTACAGTGGGAAAACCGTAGTAACTCTACGTGGAAGTGAAAGCTAAGCCCCAACTTAACGGATCTCTCACTCAACCTTTAGTTTGCCGAGTCCCCAAAATGCCCATTGCTGTTCCATCACCTGTTGGCACAGGAGTTGTGGTAGTCTGGACGTTGGAGTGGTGAGTGCTGAGTTCAGAACTTCCGAAGCTTCATTCGTCATCTGGGGAATAAGTCTACCTCAGCCAGATGTCAGAGCACAAATCTCCGACCCCAGTGTGTGCCTGCCAGGCACGCAAATTAGTGAGTGAGTTGGTACTGTTCATTGCCACCGCCCTCCAGAGAGCCCCTGACAGTTGATACTCCCAACAGTAGTAACATGGACTAGGACATTTTAAAAAGCTTTATAGTAACTGAATCAGCCAACCCCTTCTCCCTTCTTTTTTTTTTTTTAAAGATTTTATTTACTTTTAGAGAGGGGAAGGGAGGGAGAAAGACAGGGAGAGAAACATCTATGTACAGTTGCTTCTCCCATGTTCCCTACTGGAGACCTGGTCCATAGCCCAGGCATGTGCCCTGACTGGGAATCGAACCAGTGACACTTTGTTGATTTGCAGGCTGGCACTCAATCCACTGAGCCACACCAGTCAGGGCTCCCTACCTGCTTTTTGATGCTGCCAATCAGAATTTGCTGCAGTTGTGGAAATCGGACAGCCTTTTAATGTCAGCTGACTTGCCAACTATGAAAATATTTACACCTGGTTAATGAGTAGGTGCTGTAAGGAAGGGCATCTCTCCGAGGGCACCCGTAGCCTTATTTGCATCTTGTTGAATGTCTCTGTACAATTTTTCATGTGACATTCGTCTACTTAAAAGTCGTTACAAGTTGAGTGACTTTTGACTCTGGTTGCCTTGAAGTTGCTGACTCCCAGGATAACTTCGTGACCTGATTTTCATCTTGTTGATCAGTGGGTGGGTTTACTCCAGCAACGACCGTTAGAATGCACTGTGCTGGAGGGACATCCATTCTCTGTGTGAAAAGGTGGGCAAGAAAGGTGTACCGTTTACTAGAAACAGTATGGGAGACCGCCAGAATACCTTTCAGTAGGAGGACTGACTTAATGAGTGTATGTGTGTATCTGTGTTTCTCCCTACATATCAATTTTTGTGATTTATAACGAATTACTGTGATTTATAATACTAGATATATATATTTTTTTCTTCATTCCATTTCTGGCACAGATCTTATAAAATCTTTAGAATTTCCTAGGTGATGTGTCTTTTTTAAAAAATTTGTTTACTTTTTAGAGGTGTAGAGTGAGGGAGGGGAAAAGAGAGGGAGAGAAACAGCGATCAGTCACACGCAGCCTGACTGGGGCCTGTAACCGGGCGTGTACCCCGACCGGAACTGAGACCGGCTGGTGACCTTTCCACTTTGTGGGACAATGCCCAGCCGCCTGAGCCAGGAAGTCAGGGCAAGAGGTGTCCTTTGATATTCACAAGAAACCCCTTTCTGCCCCACCTGAGTTTGTGTTAATGAGATGACCTTGGGAAAGCACCTGAGGATGGGGCCTGGTTGCCAGTAGAACCAAACCCTGATTCAAGTTTGGGAACTTTCAAGCCCACTTACCACTGGGAAGGGGAAGGGGGTGGGACTGCATATTAAGCTCTGTAAAAGCTCTGGAACTAGAGAGTTGATGAGCTTTCAGGCTGGTGAACCAGTGCATCCAGGTGCTAGGAGGGTGGTGCACTTCACATTCCACGGGGAGAGAAGGGCCTGTGTTCGAGACCCTTCTGGCCCTTGTCCTGCGTTATCTCTTCCTCTAGCTGTTCAGTTGTGTTCTTTCATATTCTTTGTGATAAACCATAGTGAACTTTTAATAAATCCAGAATCTTCTCAGTGAGGCCCTCCATGGGCACTCTGAAATTTCAACCATTTTTGCCCTAGGTATGTTTCATTCTCCTTCCTTGCTTTGTTTTTCCCCCTTTGCACTTATCACTGCTTAACACAATATATTTTTAATTTAATTTTTAAAAACTTCTTCATTAGAATATGAGTTAGGGCCCTGGCCGAGGGGCTCCGCTGGTTGGGGCATCATCCCAATATGCCAGGTTGTGGCGTTGATTCCCGGTGAGGGCACACACAAAAATCAATCAATGAATGGATAAATAATTGGGACAACAAATTAATGTTTCTCTCTCTCTCTCTTTCTCCAAGAACAGTTAAAAAAATAAAGTGTATGAGCTAGAGAGCAGGGAATTTTGTCTGGTTTTTTTCCCTTCTATATTGAGCAGCCTATTAGATTTGCAAATTCTTGAAACCATTTTTATTTTAATATCTAAGAGTGTAGGTGTTACCTTCCCACGAAGATGTGGTTGAAGTCAGCATACCAGAAACATTTGTAACTCATCAGTACGGTGTGTTATTTCTTGCCCACGATTGCTAGATCCAATTACAGGGGGTTAAAAAACTAGTTTAAAGGAGTTTCCTTTATATGAACTATTTCTTTGTGAATTGCTTGCAAGTTAGGCATGCAGTTCAGGTGCAGAATTAAGGTCTGTGGTTCTGTAGAGAATTATAAGGAGAGCCAATAGAAGAAGCACAAAGTGTGTGCTTAAAAACCCATTATCTTTAATGTGTTGATTAGAATGGGTTGTGGAAGTACCACATATTGTTAGAAAAGGTGTCTTTCTGTGTGGAGGTATCAGTAGTGGGAAAAGCACAGCCACTGGTTTTATTTTTTGTAGGGTGCTAACAGGTGTGTCAGGAATTGCTGGCATGGATTTTTAGTGGCTCTGGGAGCCTCGTTTTCTGGTTGTGTGCAAGTTATTTTGCTCATTATCTTGGGAGTAGAGAGAGATGGACTGGCTGTACCCTTAAAAAGCTCAGGAGTCACAATGGTAAGTACAAAAAAGGGTAGAATGTAATCACAGACGAGCAAGCTTTCCTGTGAGGGTGGAATCGGATGATGTCTGGCAGGGAGAGACAGAATCAGGGAAGGCGCGGGGAGGAGGGGCAGTGAGTAGAGCATTGCAAGGCAGGAGTGGGGCTGCAGTCGGGGTGTGGGGGAAGGGCCCCAGAACAGCCTGTGCTTCCGTGCTTCCCACGCTTCAAGCATCCGAGGATCTTGTCAGAGAAGCAGATTCCGACTCTGCAGGTCATGGACGGGAGGCGGAGATGCTGCATGTCTAACAAGCCTCCCTGGTGATGCTGATGTCCCTGGCTCTACAGACAAACCTGGGGCCACAGAGCTGCCTCCCTGTACCTCCTTGACCTTCGAGGGAGGGTCTGGCCTGGAAGCTCTGGTGTGGGCTTGGAGAAGGATAGGTTGTGAGGTGCTCGCTCAGTTAAAGAAGTAAAGCAGAGGCCAGGGGACCGAGACCGATCTGATTCAGGGGTAAGACCACCACACCTCTCCTTGATCACAGGGCCGTTAACTCAGCCTTTGGGCTCCTTTTCCTGAAAGCTTCCTTTAAAAGTTCACCTGGTAATTTCCAGTGATAACTGTTTAACCTACTGATCTCCAGTCTCTTGGGACATATTGCTAAATGTTACTGTGGTCCTTCAGAAAGAAACTGATTCTGTTGTTGGTAGATTTAGCCATGTTTTTTATCAACTGCCAGTCTGACCAACCCCAATGATGAACTTTAAAAAAGCATAGCTCATGCCCTGGCCGGGTGGTTCAGTCAGTTGGAGTGTTGTCCCATACACCAAAGGTTGTGGGTTTGATTCCCTGTCCAGGCATATATCTAGGTTGCCAGTTCATTCCCCGGGGTATGTGTGGGAGACAACCAATGGATGTTTTCTCTCACATCGATGTTTCTTCTTTCTCTCTCTCTACCTTCCTCTCTATCTAAAATCAATAAGCATCCTTGGGTGAGCATTTAAATTGAAAAGCATAGCTCATGAATTAGTTAAACGGGCCTCATTGTTATGGTAGAGACTGTAAGTTAGAAACACGCATGCATAGGCAGTGTTCACGTACGTGTGGCAGAGACAGAACTAAAAGCACCGCAGAGGTGTTCCTTTCTGCGTCATCACGGGGCCGCACTGCACCAGACTGGCCCCAGCGTGCTGTGGTGGGGCTCAGCTCTCTGCACGAGGGGGTCGGCAAAGGCCCTGTACCTTTACACACTCACGTGAGGATCGAATCGGGCCACACTCCTGACCGTGGTAACTGCCAGCCCCGGAGGAAGACTCTGGGGCTGCGTGTGGTGGTGGTGATGGTGAGTTTTATTTAAATGTGGCAGGCACATTTGTCTGCGGATGTGTGCTAAATATATGTTATACGTGTATGTTTCCAATTTTCTTCCTAGATTTTGGCTTTGATTGCGTTCATCTGCATAGAGACCATCATGGAATGCTCCCCGTGTGAAGGCCTCTACTTTTTTGAGTTTGTGAGCTGTAGTGCATTCGTGGTGACTGGAGTCTTGCTGATTCTGTTCAGTCTCAACCTTCACATGCGGATCCCCCAGATCAACTGGAACCTGACAGTGAGTACAAGTCACCGCTCTGCGGCTGTGAGAGGAGAGGGTGCTGCTTGGCTGCCGGGGAAAGTCGGAATCTGTCCAGTGAATTGGGTCCAGTTCATTGTGATACTTAAGTATTCCATTGTAGTTCAACTGCGAAAATTTAAATCTCTGTACTGGGTTGAGCAAAACTACAACACAAATGGAATCTTCAGTAATGGTAGGAATATCATAACAATTATTCTCACCTCTTTAAAAATATCATTTCAATTTCATGATCCTCCGAGAAAACTGGTAATGTTGATATGTATGGAATATGGGAAAGAGAAAATGGAATTAATACATTTTTGCATATTTTTCACACTGGCCCCAAAGGCCATTTACAAAAGGATTGATTCAGGGAGAATTAAAAATATGAATGAAAATGCCAGTAACTTGCAAAGCCGAGGAATATTATCAAATTCAAAGCAACTGCGAGGGCTGGAAGGAGGGTTTAGTAGTTTGGTCAGTCCTCCTCTTTTTCTCTGTGGTTTGGGTTCTGAACGCCGGTTGTGACAGCCTTACCCTCCGATCGGCATGGGGACCTCCGGCCGGTCACTCCCAGGCCCTTTCTCATGGGCTTGTGTTACTTATCCTTCTGCACTAAACGAGGTAGGAGACTTAACAGCATTTAGTTTTCTTGATATTTCTTTGCAAACAAGCATGTGCAAGAGCTCAAAGGGAATCAGGGAAGCACAGGAGAGCACTCAGCTGCCTCGCTCTTCTGTGGCTGCGGGAGGAAAACCCTGTGGGCACCACAGCTGCTACGGGAGCAGCAGGAGGGGAGGAGGGCGCTGGGACAGCTGCCCTTGGGACAGCCCCCCTCTCTTTGACTGGTGCCGATGGGTGTGTAGCGCCAAGGAAAGTCACCTGTGGGAAGGAGCCGGGATGGAGGCTGGAATGGGTCACCTTGCCTGGCAGGGCCACTCCCATGGTGATCGGGCGGGGTGTCCAGAGACCAGGTCTTTCTGACAGAATGCTCTCTGTGTTGTTCAGACTCTTTTAGGAGGAAAAATAAGAGCAGAGCTGAACTAGAAGAGTTGATGTCAGTTGAAAACTCAGTTGGTTTTGTCTCAGCATTGAAAAACTGAGAAAAATGTGATTTGAATTTAAATTCTAAACCTCAAGATACTGGAGGCATTTCCTCTGAGTTTTGGGTGACAGGTTTTAATGTCTTGACTATTTTTAAGATACAGTTTGTGTTATCCATAGGAAAATGCTTGCAGAGTCGTCATCTGAATTGATAGTGTGGTAGTAGGCAGATCAAAAAGAGAACCTCACAAACCTCTGCCAAACAAATTGCAAGCTCTGTGGGGTAAGGTCATTGTCCTTATCTCCTGGGGGCAAGGTTCACTGGTGTCCCAGATCCCTGCATTGCCGAGGCTTTCTCTCTCAGTAAATGTATGTTGAGGGAGGGGCCTGGGTGGACTTGGAATGAAATCTGCAGGAAAACTTTTTTGACAAAGAAGGAAAGATTAAGATCAGGGACTTTTGAATTAGACAGACTTGTCTGGGTTCAAGTCCATGGTGGCTCATCAGGGCTATATAATGACCCTGTGGCAAGTCACTTAAAGTCCCACATAAGTTCCACCATTGTTAGAGATGATAATATTTTTTTTATAGAATTGTTTTAAGAATGAAAGGAGCCCTGGCTGGTGTGGTTCAGTGGATTGAGTACCAGTCTGCAAACCAAAGGGTTGCTATTTTGATACCCCGTCAGGGCACACGCCTGGGTTGCGGGCCAGGTCCCCAGTGGGGGGCTCTCGAGAGGCAACCACACATTGATGCTTCTCTCCCTCTCTTCCTCCCTCCCTTCCCCTCTCTCTAAAGTAATAATTAAATAAGTACTTTTTGAAAAAAGAATGAAAGGAGACAATGCGTATAAAAGCTCCTCTAACCAGTGGTCACTGCTGCAGCTGCAGTGTACGTACACCTTAGCAGGTGAGCGAGGCCTCGCTGCTGCCGTCTGTCAGCCTCCTCACCCCCCTGTAGACGTCTCTCCTCAGGGTTGACTTGACTCCCTTAATTCTGTCTTACCTGCTTTAGAGATGAATCCGCTAAAAAACTTCATACTTCAGGTTTCTTACTAACTTATTCTGGGTTTTATCCCCAGAAATACCTAGTTAGTAAGCTTTCAGAAATATTAATTTTTCTATTTTAATCATGAAAGACTTTCTGCTCATTGACTACACCCTCTGGTCATGTCAGAGTACATCTTTTTCACTGGGAAGCCAACCATTAGTCCTTGTCTCCTGGCTGGTGTTGGCTGGGGCACGTCCTGGGTGGTGATGTGCCACTTGGGAACACCTTTCTGTCCTCTGGGGTCCTTTCCAGAACTTTCTTTTAGAGCAGAGGAGGATGTGTGCGCATCCAGCAAAAGGGCATGTGAATCATAAGAACTTGAGGCGATGGCACTGGCTGGGGGCACCTGGTCATTTGTTCTCTGGGAGGAGGGCAAAACTGAGTTTTCCAGTTAATCACAGCGCATCAAGTCACTACGGAGGGCTGGCCCTGGGCGTGTGCTTTCCCCACAAGATGCTGGGGGTATTTTTGTCCCCAACAGAGGCAGCCAGGGAGTGAAATAGGATGTGATTGGTACAGATTTAGAAAAATGGGTCACTTCAGGAGCCTATGTTGACACAGATGTGCATGAAAATGGTAAATAAGGAGGATGATACAAAAAATACTTTATATAACATAATTTGATGCATTCAGATTGTATTAATGTTGGTTATTTTTTTTAGGATTTCATGCATTCTATTTTTAGAGATAGGGGAAAGGATGGAGAAAGGGAGAAACACATTAGTCGGTGCCACCCTGCGCTGGGGAACCTGGCCCACAACCCAGACATGTGCCCCAACTGGGAATCGAAGCTGCAGCTTTTTGGTCTGCTGGCTAGTGCTCAATTCACTGAGTCACACCAGGATTTTTTTTTCTTCTTCTATGAGTCTATGGGGCAATTCTGCTATATTTGTTTTTCTCTGTATATTAGGAGCTCACACACTCATTGTTTCACCTCTGTTTGCCTTGATTAATGCCACCCCCACCCCCGATTACTCTCCCATTCCCTTTCCACCACCCGAAGCCTGGCAGGGGCTCCCACCCTCCTACTCATCCAAACTTCTGTAAAGAGGAGGGAGGTCTGTACGTACCTTCTCTATTTCCCTATCTTCTAATCTCTGTTTTCTCATCTTTTATTGTCAAATATAGCACATTCCAAAAAATTTGCAAAAGCAAACATATGATTTACTGAAGAATGATAAAGAGTGTGTAGCCAGCCCCTGGGCCGAGAGGTACAATGGTGTCAACACCCCAAAAGCCCCACGTGTGCCTCTCAGACACAATCACAGCCTGCCCCGCCTGCGCCCCCGCTCACGCCAATCCACTGCCCTTTCTGTCCTCCAAAGTCCTCTGTTCAGGAGCACGGGGGCCTCTGCGCTCCTCCTCTGGTCATTCTCTACCCCCCCCCACCAAACGCTTTAGCGGTGTCTGCTGCGGAACACTCAGAACTTCCCGGTGTGCTGTGTACTCTTGCCTCCTGTGACACCGCTCCGACCTGCTTTTCCGTTTTTCTCCTTGGTGTTCCTTTTCAGCGGCCTCTGGGGGCCCCTCCTCCTCCCACAGGCCTCTCTCTCTCCCTGTCTGAGACCCCAGGCCAGGGGCTGTGGTGAGTTGAGAACAGTCTGGAATCACCCACAGGGCTCACTTGCAGCGCCCTGAGGCCTTGGCCATGACTCACTGTGTGGTGTTTTCCATACCAGTTTTGAGCCAAATGTGTGGTTATTTTCTGACAAAAAAATCCACATAGTTTTTCAGTACCAAGCAGTTCTCTAATTCTCCAAAAACACGGGTGTTCAGCAATTTAATTCAGTTCTGACAATAACTGCTGGAGTTAGCACCGACCCCACGGGTTAAGGGCTCAGTCCCATGAGGCTGCCCCTACCTGAGACACCAGCCACAGACGGTTCCCAGGTGACCCACACTTCTTCCGGGCCGGCAGGTCCAGCAGTTCCCACACCTGCCCTCCTCAGGTGCAGTACTTCTCTGGAACAACTTCGGAAAGTGCTTTACTTATAATTACTGGTTTATTACGAAGGACACAACTCAGAAACAGCCAAATGGAAGAGGAGGGGCATAGGGCACGGTCCAGAAGGGTCCCACAGAGTTGGGGTGCAATGTGGATGTAGTCACCAACTCGGAAGCTCCCTGGGCTGTGTCATTCAGGGTTTTGTGGATGTTGCATCTTGCAGGTGTGGTTATTAAAGCACTGGCCATTTGGGGATTGAACTCAGTCTCCAGCCCCTCACATTTCCCCTGAGTCTGGGGATGGCAGGGCTGAAAATTTCAACCCGCTAATGACGTGGTTGGTTTTTCTGGTGACGATCCCCTGTCCTGAAGCTCTCTGGGGGTTCCAGGGTCACTTCATTAGCATAGACTCGGGGACAGTGGAAAGGGGCTCATTATGAATGATGAAAAGATGCTCCTATCAGTCAGCAAATTTTAAAGAACTAGGGAGCAGGACAAAATATATATTTTTCATTAATTGCACTCATCCTCTCTGGGATTAGTTTCCTTATTTTTAAAAGTAGAGCAGAATAACATGTCCTGTCTTACGGGTATTTTGGAGCATAACTAGGTAAGGATATGGTGAGACACTGCGTTCTATGGTTGGCACAAAAGACTGTAGATGGCAGTCCTTACTGTCATGAGTATTACGACAGATCCTTTGATACGGGGCCATTTGAACACTGGTCAGTGCACGGCACGGTCCAATTGGCTGTGAACTCCCCTCCGTGTGTGGGGCTGAGACTGGGGCCAGCTGCAGAGCCCAGTGGTTTGGGGGCGGCAGCAGTGACAACAGGCAGGGCTGGGTCTGCCACAGAGGCCTCACTTGTGACTGCTTCTCCAACACCTGCTTCACGCCAGGTTTGGGGAACTGAAAGTGCAGGATGGGGAGATGCAAGCGGCTCCCCTGGGTCAGGTGTGCTCCGAGGGTCCGGTTTTGTTGGGCAAGGCCTGGGGGATGCTGGCAAGGAGGCAGTGGGTTACTGGAGTGAGTCAGAGAAAACTGCAGGGTTCCAGGTGGGTGCTCCTCGGACAGAGCACAGAGGGTGGCGCGTGTCGTGGGAGGCCAGTGTCTGGGGCTGGAGCAGCGTTACAAACTCAGGGCCCACTGGGGCCGGGCGTGTGAGAACATGAGCCGGGGTCAAGGTGATGGGGAAGGTGGTCCTGCTCAGCCCCAGCCAGCTGCGTTGCTGCTTCCTGGGACTTCTGGGCCAGTTTTTCGAGAGCAGCTGGAAGTTGGTTTTTTTTGTTTGTTTGTTTTTTAGAAATTAGTTTTTATGTGCAGGCTTCTGACGTTTAAATGTTGGCTTGTTCAAATTTGAACACTGTACCAGTCAAACCTATCCATGGGCCAGATCTTCTTGATCTGTTACTGGATTTACTTGGGCTCCATGGAACTTACTGGTGTGTCGATGAAGAAGGGACTCGAAAACGTGTGACCTTCCTCTTCTCTGAGCACAGGGGGGCTGCATGCAGGCCTGGGTTGTTAAGGGGCCGGACAGGGAACTTAAAGTGGCGAGGTGTGCAGCCTCGGGGGGTGGGGATGAGTGTGGCAAACTGGCCAAGATGGGGCTTGTATAGTGCATGTCCCATTAAAAGTATTTAAAAAAAATTAAACGTCAATATTGGCTAAAAATTCTCACAAGTCTACATCTGAGGGGCAGTCCCTGCGTGACCCTAACAGAAGTGGAACCACGCGCGCGGAGAGCCACGGTTTCGTTTCAGGGCCAAGGCGCTCACGCAGCTGGTGTTGCCTGACTTTCTCAGCGCTCCAGGTTTAAGCCTTTTGAACTGTGGAAGCAGTAACTAACTGTTTGTTGTAGAAGAACTAGAAGATATAGATAATAAAATAGAATAAATAAAATCAGGTGCTCACCCAAAAGAAAGGAAAACATATGTCCATAGAACAGCGTCTAAAGTAGTAACATTATTATAATAACTGAAAAGTAGGAATGTTCAAAAACTGTTGAACGGATAAGTGTGGTGTATCTGTACCGAAGAATGTTACTCAGTAATAAAGAGAAAGGACGTATCGCTACAACATGAATGAACCTTAGAACTATTACACTAAGTGGAGGAAGCCAGTCACTAGAGAGCATGTAATAAGTATATCATTCTATTTATACGAAATGTCCAGAATAGGCCAGTCCATAGAGACAGGGAGCCAACCGGTGGTCGCCTAGGATTGGGGGAGGGGTGAGCAATTACCTGTGAAGTACGAGGTTTCTTTTTGGAATGCTGAATCTGCTCTAAAATTAGATCGTGATGATTGAATTGAATGCTGTAATTGGGTGTATAATATGTATGGTGTGTGAATTGTATCTCAGTAAAACTGTTTAAAAGATCTTATGTGATACAACCCACGCAGGGGTAGCCAGTTGTAACACTTGGGTGTAACTTCTTGACTGTATTCTCTAGACTGTCTTTCACATGTGCATGTATGTTGTGATATGTGAGTAAGAAAAATGGAACCATTAAAGTCATGCTTTTTAATTTAAACTGTCTTAAGTATCTTCCACATTAAATATACAACCATATCATTATTGTTAATGGCTGCATAGTGTTCCTTTGTGGAAATGCCATTTTACCTAACAGGTGCCCTATTCTCGAGCATTTTGTTTGCTTGTCTGTTTGCTGTTCTGAATGATATCACGAGCATCCTTGCACTGAGACCTTTTGGCACGAGTACGATATTTAACATGAGGTCCAGATGTGGAATATGTACACAGAGGACACGAACCTCTTCGAAACCTTTGATATCTATTGGCCCTTTACCATATTTGATTTTCATAGAGTCACCATGAAGGTGCGCACTGTTTTGTTGGATGTTTGGCCTCCACATTGTATCATAAGACATTTTGCTCGTATTGGAATAGTCTTTGGTTTGGAAAGTACATTTTATAGACTTCTCTGTATTCCACCAGCACCTCACCCAAAGCTGAGCGTAACCCAACACTTCCCGGATTGAATTTGTGAGAAATTTGGTCAGGCTTAACACACTGGTCCCAGCCGAAGCTGTCCCTGCGGGCAGCCACCCCGGACAGTTTCAGAGGCAGCCCTGGCTCCACCCCGTGACCCCGTAACCCTGTGACCCTGTGCAGAAGCATGACCAGGAGTGTGTCGGGGCTCCTGCTGCACGGGCTCCGCACTGTGATGACGTGAACGTTGCCTTTTTGCATCTTTAAAAAGAGGAGGTAGACCTCGAAGTCAGGCCAGCCAGGAGAACCAACCTGGTGTTGGTGGTTTGGTCAGTCTGGCACGTAAGCAGTTCGGAATTTTACCTGAACTTTTTTTCTTTCCTGTAGAGGCCACAGAGGGACTCTGGTGTGGCCCAGGCTGCCAGGGCCTGAGGCCACAGTAGTAGTAACAGAAGTCACAGCGGAGGTGCAGGCAGCACTAACTGTGGACCAGGCTCCGTGCTGGGCTGTTCACATGCTTTGTTCTACCTCATCCTTAAACCAGCTCCGAGAGGGGGGTTCCCTTCCCCCGTGGGACGCAGAGAAGGGAAGTGCCTTGTCCAAGGTCACGATCCATCTGTTAGGACCTGAGTCTGGCTGCGACTCTTAATCAGTGGGCTGTGTTTCTCTTGACAAGATAGGAGTTAAATCTCTGTAGCACTGGGTGTGTAACCCGATTTGCTTGGCAGGAATCTCAGGAGCCAATCCTCTAGGCTTTAACAACAGAGAGGCTTGAAAGACCAAGCGCACGGAAGAGGGTGAGGTCCCGGGCTTGGATACAGTGTGCTGGAGGGGTCACAGGTGACCGAGAGGATGTTCCAGAGGGTATCACCCCTTTCCGCACATTCTGGGCCGGTGATTTCCAACCTTTTTCATCTCGCGGCGCACATGGACTAATGACTAAAATTGCACACCAAAAAATGTTTTTTGCTGATCTGACAAAAAATAGGTATAATTTTGATTCATTCACACTGGACGACTATTGTTGTGTTGACTTGTCATTTTTTTAAAGATTTTATTTATTTATCTTTAGAGGGGAAGGGAAGGAGAGAGGGAGAGAAATATCAGTGTATGGTTGCCTCTTGTGCATCCCCTGCTGGGAACTGGCCTGCAACCCAGGCATGTGCCCTGACTGGGAATAGAACCACAACCCTTTGGATCACAGGCCCATGCTCAATCCACTGAGCTACACCAGCCAGGTGTCATTTTTTTCAATTTGACACTCTAAGGGAAAAGAGGTCAGTGCCCCTGACTAAATAGTCCGGTACTGCATATTTTAAAAATTCTTGCAGCACACCCGTGGCACACCAGTTGAAACCTGCTGTTCTGGATTTTTGGGGAGCTTTGTCTATGCCAGGGTGATCTGAATGAGTTTTTAAAAGACGGCGATAGAACTGTACACAGTAGTTATTGAGCATGGCCTTGATAGGTCAGCAGTTTGGGTCCCTGAAGTGTGAGACGGTAAGAAACGGTAACGTGGATTTGGCCGCGGTGACTTACGGAGCAGCATCAGGAGCCGTTACCGTCTTTGCCTTCCTCGGTCTAAGCAGTGCCCCTGGGCCATCGAGACTCAGCTACAGGGACTCAGATACGCAGCCGTCAGAGAGGCTGGATGTCGGGCCACTCACTTTGAAAGTTCCTCAATGGCTTTGAGGGCAAAGCACAAAATGCTTCTTTTCAAGTGATTTTATTTATCTTTTTCTTTAGGATTTGGTCAACACTGGACTCAGCACTTTCTTTTTCTTTATCGCTTCAATTGTACTGGCTGCTTTAAATCACAGAACCGGAGCAGAAATCGCGGCTGTGGTAGGTGAACTCAAGGGGTTAAAACTTGGGCCGATTTGTACGCTTTTTGTGACTTTCTCTCCTCTCCCTCCTAGTATGTGTCCTACTCATTCTCCTTCAGCCTTTTCTTTGCTAACGAAGTTGTTACTGGGCCCACAGAGGTCTCTGTTCCTTCAGTGCTGAGGTTCTCAAAGTGGGGGCCCTGGGCAGGCAGCCTCAGCATCACCCAGGAACCTGTAGGACATGCCCTTCCCGGGCTCTGGCAGAGCTGTGGAATCAGAATGGTGTTTAGCCAGCCCTCCAGCTGATTCAGATGCAGGCTCGAGTTTGAGAACCTCTGCTTTAGTCTGTTTCCAGCGGGACGCAGACGTCTGTCTATAGTGGTGTTGCTTTTCCAAGCCTTACCGGCCAGTGCAGGGGTCTTAATGAAGAAGAACAGTCTTGTCAGCATTTAGCAGTCAGGTGACGTTTTTGCTCTTCAGGGTGATTGCCACGGGGGTAGGGCAGGAACCAGATAACATAAGACTTTCCCTGTGCTCTGCATTACGAAGACTATGCCACACTTTAGTAATGGTTGTGATTAAAGAGGTTCATGAAAAGTATTAAACTAGCTGCTCTCCCTGTGAGGTGTCGAGGTGTCGCTCAGTAGAATCCGTAGTCATAATTGACTAAGCCAAACCTCACTGCTTCTCACCCTGGAGTTGCCCAGGGAGAGGCTGCTGGAGAGGAGGTGGGGGTCAGGGGCTGTGATTTGGAATGTCAGGCCTTGTGACCTGAGTTGGGCTCACCCTGGAGCCCCTGATTTTTTGCGTATATGGCATTTTGTCTACATGTATGTTCCCCTCTGGGAGCAGTGACTGTGAAGGTGCTGTAAAAGAGGCTTTTTTTTTTTTAAATAAAAAAAAAAAGATCCAGAATACTATGAAAGAAACCTTGGGCCGTTTTCAGATTGGGCATGACTTAGGTGGGTCACACAACTGTAGACTGGGCCCCAGTCTGACAGCTAAACGATCATCAGGGCGAGGTGTTGGGGGCGCTGCCACAAAGCCACGCGGGGTCCCGCCCGGACACCCTGTGGACTGCTGCTGTGTCTGAGGACTCACTGCGGCTGTTTCTTGCAGATATTTGGCTTCTTGGCGACCGCGGCCTATGCTGTGAACACGTTCCTGGCGGTGCGGAAGTGGAGGGTCAGTGTCCGCCAGCAGAGCGCCAGTGACTACATCCGCGCCCGCACGGAGTCCAGGGACGCCGACGGCCGCCCCGAGATTCAGCGCCTGGACACCTGAGGGCCCGCTGGGGCCCTTCTCCTCTCGTCCTCATTTCCGTCCTTTCAATCAAGTTTTCTTTCCCTTGTCATGTCAGATTTTTATGTGATTAAGCTGAATTTTGTCCTTTTTGCTAAAAGCTCATTTTGGGAAAGGGTTCTCCCCCTCCAGAGTGGCCCTGTTAGCAGAAATGTGCAGTGGAGAACGCCTGTTCCCAGTGTTCCAACCGCAGTGGGCGGGAGAGACCTACAGATTCTCCAGGGTTTGGTGGCCGTGGGAACAGCTGGCCTGCCTGGCTGCCATGTCCACTCTAGGTCCTCACTGCCCCCGCGCTCGGGCTTCCCATCTCTCGGTGAGCCACCCTGTCATGTGTATTTGTGACAAGTCAACACGTTGGATTAAATGGGGGCTGCCAGGAGCAGGTGGAAACCAAGGAATGAGGGTGTGAGGCTGGGACAGTTTTGTTGGCAGTGATGCCTGGGCGGCCCCAGGGTGAGCTCCGTCAGCATCAGCCTCGCTGTCAGGACCCTCCCCTGCTGCTTGTCTTCCGTGCCTGGGCATCGAGGCAGCCAGCACAGGCCCCGAAAGCCAGGTGTGTCACTGAGGGTCTTGGTGATGGGTGTGCTGGGCAAGCTCTTGGCTGGGTCTGGACTTTATGGGGGTGGGCAAAGCTGGTGTCCCTTTGGGACAGCTCCCCGGGACTGCTGACATGCGGGAGGGGCACCTTCATTTCCCACCCTGCGGAGAAATCACTCAATGCTTCCTCCAGTGAATCACCTCCCCGAATCCCAGATTCCCGTCCAAGAACATGGGGACCATCTTGTTTTTCACTCTCCTGCCTACCCTTAATACTTTGAGGCTGAATTGAAGATTTTCTGTAATTTCACCTTTTCAGGTAAAAGCCAGGAAAGGAATTTGATCCATTCCACCAGCCAGAACACTTGCCTGTTTGGACCACAGGTGGGGACACACCTCTGCTTTAGAGATGTGGCTAATTTTCAAATACCTGAGAAGAGTTCGGAAGTGCTTCTGAGTGGACTTGTCTAGGATTTGAAAATACTTGAATCTGCACCACGTGTTCTTTCCCTGATATTTCAGAAGGCACGAACGGTAGCTGTTTATGCCCCGGGTCCCTACTCTGAACATCCATCTTAGAAGTTGTTGGGAAGAATTCTGGGTGTGTTAGGTTTCGAACTGATTCTTGACAGAGTGAAGATTATTGTGGTGAAGGAGTTAAATGAGCCCCTATGATGCTGTACTTTTTTTCCTTTTGGAGACTAATTGTATCTTTTATGGAGAAACTGTTTTAACTTGTCAGGTTTTCACTCCGAACTGTTTTTAATGTTTACAGACCTCACTCTAGCTCTAATATTTTTGTGATTGGCCCTGACCAAGGAAAAAACATTTATTGCTGGGGGGGGGGGAGATTTTGCAGTAACTTGGAGAATCCCCCGGGCCTTGCGCTGGTGACCGATCACCACCTGAGCGGCATTACCGAGTGATGAGAGAGCGGGAGTGTGTGTCCGTGGGGTAATGAGAGGAGAGCATGTGTGAGGCAGTGTCCATCTGTGCGTGTGTGGCACTTCGTTCTTCACAACAGAGCAGTGTCCGGGGTGATCAGGTGACACAGCCAGGCAGGGGCTCTGTGGGGAATGGTGCTGCGCCGTCTCTGAGTGGGCGGGTTAGGGGTTAGCTCCCGGAATGAACGTCGGGTGCTGTCTGGGCGCTGCGGTACTTCCTCCCCAGGGCAGTGGCCCAGGTCACGTGGGCAGGCCACTTTGTGTGCTCCGGGGGCCACGGCGGCCAGTGCAGACCCAGCCTGCATGGTGGTAACTCACCTCCCTGGGGTGCCCCGGAGGGCAGCCAGGGCTGGCCACAGCTGGACGTGCTGCAGAGCATTCTGACCGAGCCCTCCTTCCTCGTCTGTCACGAGGCAGTGCGAGTCATGCCTCGCAGACTTTGGACCTATTGTATGGAGTGATTTTTGAGAGGATGCTGACATCTGGATTTTATCTGTTCATTTTATATATTTATTTTGCATTTGTTGAGTGTGTATGCCTAGTCAAAATTGGGCTTATCTCCCTCTGCGAATTCCATTTAAAGACAGGGTCACCAAGACTCAGTCAGCCTTATATTAAACGGGGCCCATTTGGAAGGACCACCCTGAGCTTTATCAGACATCTCCTGCTGGGAATCATGTTACTTGGCCTCGGTAAAAAACGGCCTTTGAAGTAGGACTGGAGAAAGGAATACCATTCAGGCAGGATTGCTGCCCAGGTTTTCCCGAGTCACTTCAATAAGGCCAGCTTATCATCTGGTGAGAGGGAGCCTCTTCGCCTCCTGGGGACGTGCCATCAGCCGCAAGACACGGCTCTGAAGCCCCTGGAAACGGTAAATGCTGACGGGTGACAAGAAGTGACGGCACCTTAGCCTCAGAGCGACTTAGGAGCTAATTTGCATCTTAGTGTCAGAATCTTTGGAATTATTTATGTCCCTGTAACTATTTAATGTCCTTTGTGCCGTGAGGCTCTCCTATGGTTTTAGTAAATATATTTCATTCTATGAATTAGCTCTCACTACAACCGGAAGTAGCCAGCTAGTCCTCTAACCTGGTGTGCCGCACACCCGTCTCGTCACCCAGGGCAGTGCGGCGGTAAGAAGTTACGGAGGAATGCATTTAGGTGAATGTGAAGGCACCTGCCTTTTTTTGGGTTGCCTCTGTGTACAAATAAGACAATCTAGATTTGGGGGGAGCTTAAAGAATTTTTTCCCTGCAAATGGAAGGAAGAGTATTTTCTCGTTTAATAGTTCCAGTATGGATCAGTGTCAGGTTGCTTTGGGGCATTTTCAGGCTGAGGCAGTCTTGGTGTCTCTGAGTTTTCTGGTGGGATGATAATGGCTTTCACAGTCCGTGCCAAGGTTGAAGAGAACTACTTTGCTCCGTGCCTTTGAATTTGTTCCTGGAGACCGTATGGCTGAAACCCTCAAGCATTCGGTGGTTTCAGATGGATGCAGACACTGACGTCTTTAGAGAAATTTTATCTTGGCGCTGATTCGGTGGATGTGGTCATTTTTTCTCTGATTCTCCTTTACCTTCTCTTTGCTTGAAGGCATGAAGGGAAATACCTTCTCGATTTTGTACACAGAGATTAGTCATGAAAGCCTACAGACACCTGTTGGCACCATATAAATCTGGGGAAGGACCAACGCATTTACAGAGTGAAATCTCAGAAGTTTGATTTACAGTAAAGTATTTTATTTTAGATTTTTATTCTGCAGCAATAGTCATTCAAGAGGGATAACTTTTGCCTACACAAAGGCAAGAATGAGTGGCCCACCCAGTCCCAGTACTCACCCATGTCTTCCTTGGCAACTTGAACTGAAGGGCCAGCATCAGCAGAGCCCAGCTTGGCTGCAGGGAAGCCAGCAAGGGCCTGGCCTGGCTCTGAGGGCTTGGCTTGGGGCGACACCGCAGCCCCCTGGGCACCACCACCATCCCTGGCAGGAATGCTCGTGCCTGTGGGGAGGTATGGAGTGCGTCTGACCTCCACCCTGTGTTGGACGCTTCTGGCAAGAGCTCCGTGACTCACTCGAAAACATTCCTGCCCTTAACGTGTGCAGCCTCACTAGCCTGTCTTCGGAGGCTTCTCTGTGATTGACTCGTGTAAAGCCACAGGTGGTCTCTGAGGAGAGAAGCACTTACTCTTCTGTCGCACGAATAACCTCACCTTTCCTTGTGGACACTGGTGCTGTTTGGGAAGACACCCCTCGCCTCTCTGTGCTTCAGAGGTGGACCAAGTTCTAATCTCCGGGCGCGAGACTTCCCGCAGGTCGTTCTTAGAACCACCTGTCCTACCAGAGGAGGAGAGTGTGGCAACAGCCTGTGGCCAAGGCAGTGATTCTAGAAGGCAGCGACGATTGATGTGGTTCCCACGGCGCCGTCCCTGTTCTAAACACGGCATCCAGGGAGTCGTCGTGCCACTGCCTGGCCCTCATTCTCTGTGTCTTGCCTAAAGGATGAAAACGACACTGAACAGGTAGCAAAAGGCACAGACACTTTTTAGGTTGAGGGCTGCTGCCAACTGACTCTCTAGAGCAAAATAAAAAGTCGCTGCCTGCTCCAGGGGCTGCCATTAACCTGTGAGGTCTCCAGGCACCTTTTCAGTTTCCTAGTGAAGTTTGTAGAACCCAGGGGTTCTCTCTTCCCCAGACCTTGCTCATTTTATCAGCACCCATGCTTAGGACCAGCAAGGTGACAGGCTGGGAGCAGGGGCAGGTTGGGGGGGGGGCTGCAGCCCAGACTCGGTCTGCTGAGGATAGCACCAGACTGGTTACTGACCCAGGAAGTCTTGAAGAAATGTGCTTGGTTAACCGCCTTTCTATCCTCTGTCTTTGGAAAAGTGAGATCTTGTTCTGGAATCAGCTTGAGAGCAAGAGCTGAATGTAGGAACCCGTGTGCCTTGGGGCTCTTGCCTTTGAGTCTGGGAGCTCGCAGGTCTAGACAGGTGGCTGGCTCATCTCCCACCTTGGAGAAGACGCAGATGGAGCACTGCCTGGGGCGCACTTCCCAGCGCCCTACGAACCTCAGAAGAAGTGGGTTTCTTCTCTTCCCATCAGATATTGCTGAAATAAACGCTAAGAATTGTCTGGTGAGAAGGTAATTTGAAATATTTGACCCTTTCCATTTCTTTCATTCCAAAACTGTTTCTGAAAGAAAACACCCCCAGCACGTGTTAGATCTAGAACTGTCTTCTGAAAGCCAATGTTCTGTTTGGCTTTTCCTCACACCAGTAAACGGCATTTGTACCTTCTTGGGCTTGAAACGGAGGAGTGGGGCCTGATACACTCTCCCTTCTTTGGTCTGGACCATATTCTTATTCCATTTGGATATGTTGTCTCAGTCTTGGGGATTTTCCTCTAGTTTGTCATATTCTGTGGGCGTAGAAAAGAAGAGTTCCCTGCAAGCCCCCTGAGTTTGAATGACTCGGTAGTAGTTTTCCTAGAATGAAGTTGAGACTATGGATCCTTGATTAGTGTGTCTTTTTCATAGGGTTATTTCATTGCCTATAGTTTTTGATGCCAAGACCTTCAATCAGACACCCTGGGGTGGCTCGGGATGCATTACAGTCAAAGGCGGGAGAGCCTTCATGAAGGGGTTAATAGCCTGGGCTCTACCGAGCCATCAGAACTTCTGCGGTTCTCTTTCAGAGGAGGAAATGTCTCAGATGACCTCTGTGGGTGGGATTAGGGCGAGGCCCGTGGTTTCTTTTCATAATTGTGCCTCTGAGCAGAGAGCAGGTGCGACACAATTGGTTCTGATGGGGTTTGTCTGTGATTCAGTAGCCATCTGAGACCATCAAATCCCAGTCCTTTCTGGAGGGCCCTGCTGGAACCCAGTGGGAAGTTCCTCTTATCAGGAAAGCCACCTGGAGGGAAGGTCGGGAGGTGGGGACTGTGTCAGCCCGTCCCCGTGCCAGGCAGGGGGACCAGGTCTGGCTGATGGCTGCCTCCCTCCGTGGGGCCTTTTCCGGGATCCATTTGCAAGTTTCAAGATTCTCCTCCCCTCTCTGCAAAAGTGAGGAAGGCAAATATTCTGGGCTTGAAGGAAGAGCTGGCTGGCCCAAGGCTGGGTGGGGGGAGGCTGGCTCTGTTGCCTGGATGGCCCCCCAGGGTGGCTCAGGCCCGCAGAGGGGCCACCTGCTTTCAACTCTTTCAACCCCATCAGCCCATTTAAAAACGAGTCTTCAAATTCTGCCTCACAGTGAAATGACATAGGCATAAAGCTAGGGCTTTTCATAACTTGATTTTTGTTGCGCTTCCCTCTAGGAGAATGCTAGGGATCGAAACTATTTGTATATGTTGCAATTTGTAGGGGTTCAGGAACCCATGGGAAAAACACTTAACTATTTATTACAGGTACGACTATGTTTTTTTCCCCCAAGTAGGTAATTCTGTCTTTGTATATTTCAAGACAACTATAATCACTTCACCTTTGGTGCCTTCCGTGTGTCAGTCACATAAACACTCTTGTTAATCATGTAATTGAAAAAAAAAAGATGTACATTTAATTAAATCAGATAACACTATTTTTGTAGCATGATTTTAGATCGTGTCCTTTTAATATTGCTTTCAGCAGCGCTGGTTTTGAGGTTGGCCATTTTCCCTTTGGACTTCGTGTGTATTTTTGAAAAGAAAATGATGGAAACCACCCCTGGCTGTTCTTGCGTCCTCTCTGCTGCTTTCTGCCCCTCATCTTGTTCCCGCTTATTTAAAAAACAGTCTGAAAGTAAGAGTATATTTCTGTGAAATAATTCTAAATCGGTATAACTGCATTGGGCATTTTTAAACCACGTGTTCAGTGTGGAGAACCACTGATAGTGGTTCGGCCTCCGATGAGCCGCCTCAGAACGGGCGCAGTGGTTCCGTAGAAAGAGAAAAGAACAACACCCTTGGTGCTCCGGCCTCCCTTCTCTGGGTCTAAACCGGAGAAGGCCTTTTGTCTGGGCCTTGTGAGCCAGAGGGTGCGCTGGGGCGGGGCTGTGCTGCGCCCTTCACCTGAGGGCCGCCCGCCCCCCCGCCCACCTCCCCGCAGGTCCAGGGCTCCACCAAGCACTGGATCTGCTTGGGTTGGGGAGCTGGTGAGGCTCCCTGGCCCTTTCTCGCTGTGGGTCTGAACAAAACAATCCCCTGCTGCGAGGAGCTTGAGGAAACCACCACAGGAGGGCGCTCTAGCTGCCCTTCTTGCTTTGCCTCCCCTACGGGACACAAGCTCTATCTGGTCAAGAAAAATCTCGAGGAAACTAGCTGAGCCATTGCAACATGAAGGAATGGATCTTTTGAAACATAAAATTGTAGTTTTTTTTGTCCTCTTGGAAGGGCCAGAGTATGTAATTACTTTATAACAAAGGAAGTCGAGTCAGGTGGTTAATAACTCTTAATGCGATGACTCATTGGCACTCGCCCTGTGGCACTTTGGGGGACGATGTTCATTTACCAACCATTGCACTTTCTTCACAAAAGTCTGTTTTCTCTGACAGTTAGACACAGCTGTGGGGTGTTCTGAAGTGATGCCCGTCTGGTACATTCTGGTTTATGTTGTTGGCTGGTCAGAGATCCTACTCTGGCTTCCCGAACCGACACCGGTTCCCAGGGGCAGGCCCCCCGCAGGCTCCGACCGGCTCTCGGGTCGGACTCCGTCCGCGTGCAGCGGTTTGGGCCCCGGAGCCTTCGCTTTGGTCGGTTTGTCCCCGACAGCAGGCAGAGCTTCACGTTGCCCTCGGTTTCCCCTTTATTTCCTTTGAAGGACCAACTTTTCATGGTACTTGTCCTGATTGTTTTCATAGTGTTCAAATCTGTATTTTTGTATGTAGAGGGAAAATAATTTTCTCAACACTAATCGCTAATATTGTATTAAATCGTCATGAAGGAGTTCTTGTTTAATAAATGGACATGTAAAAATGGCATTGTCTCTTGCAGTGCTGACTCAGGTCCTGTCCCTTCGAAGGCAGCGGGCCTGGCTCCTGAAACAAGCCTGTTGTTGGGGAGATTGAACATGACCACTGCCCAGGGGACGGGGCCTCTCTGGACCGGTGTGGACGGGTGGCTTGGCTGGAGCCAATAAGGTGGCAGAGCAGAAACTCCCACGTGAGCCCCGCGTGGCCTCTGCATAGTCAATTTTCTATGCACTTTCAGAACCTGTGTGCAATTTGGGGCAGAATGCCTTGCCTCTTCCCACCGGCCTGGGCCGAAATGCTGCCCTAAGCTCCTCCCGGGCTCCACTTCTGAGGTCTCTCGTCCAACCACGAGGGCGCCAGGCTCTGGCTGCCTGAGCAGAGCTATGGGGTGTTACCCAACACGTGAGAGGCCCTGGGCCTCCTTCGAGGGGCTGTGGTGACCTGGGTGAGATCCCAAACTGTAAAGCAGGACTGTGTGAGGAGTAAATAGGAGCACAGGTGCGAGGCGCTCAGTGGGGTACCTGGGGTGGGGGGCAAGTGTGTGTGTGTTGGTGCGGAAGCCTGCAGCCGGCAGGGTTCCCACCTGGATGGGGCCATGCTGCCCTGGGCAGTGCAAGTGGGTTTTCTTTTTCTGACCTGATCTTCATTGTATTCTCTTCTGTTACCATGTTGTCCCCTTACACCCTCCTCTCCCCAAGGTTTTTTCCAAACACACTCCAAGCAGGTAGTCAGTCTGGTTTAATTCATTTTGACTTTTTTCAGGAATAGGAGATTCACATGCAAGGGAAGAACAAAAGTTACAAACGTCCCCAAATGGGTCCAGAACTCTGGCTCATTTCACAAGGCCTCTTGGGTCACGGGAAATGCTATTTAAGAAGATGCTTTTGTGTAAAAAATATACAGAAAAGGTTACAAAGTCCCACTGGAGATATATACACAGCATATAGGTCCTTAGGCGAACACAGAAGGCACGTTCCACCTCTTGGGAGGTGGTCAGGAGACACGCTCTGGTGTCTAGGACATTGTCCTGGGGGTCCAGGAACCTGTCTCCTGCTGGCGGGTCCCCAGGGAAAGAGAAGCCATGGCTGGGCCTGCCCAGCCACCCAGGATGTTGTCCCTGCTGTTTCATCTTTGGGACCTGGTAAGCTGCTTTGCCAGCTTTTCTTTAAAATAGTCTTAGACCCAGAATAGTCAGGCCACCGAAGAAGACCTGGTTTCTGAGGCTGTGAGGTGTCAGTTAAGGGCAAAGGGCAATTTTCTCCCTGTTTAAAGAATGACGAGGGAAGTACTGCTCCTTGAACCAAAGCATCTTGGAAGGATCATTTTTGACAAAGTGCCTGGAACGAGCAGGGGCACCAAATGGGGACAAGTCACTGGGGCCAGGCGGGTTGGTGGTTGGCCCCTGGGTGGTTTCTGTCTTACTTGTGCCTCGTCCCATTACTCCCACCCACCCCCTCGGCGTGGGATATTCCTGTGATGGGGTAACAAGGCTCTGTCTGCTTTGTCCCTTTGTGCTTATTTTGGCAGAGGTTAAAGGGCTTATGTCTGTGGAACAGAGATGAGGAGTGGCTGACTATTCACGACGGCCTCCTGTGCGGAGTGGTTAGATACGCTAAGCCAAGGGCCGCCTCCTGTGTGCTGGGCTCAGAGGCGGCACCTGAAAGCTGCGAGGAGGCCCGCTCCATCAGCAACTCCTGCCGCTGCCCAAGAAGTCACGGCCTCCCTCGAAACACACCCGGTCCCCAGGCCATGCTCCGGCCAGCCGGTCCGAAGTGCAGGAGTGAGGGCGCACGTGGCTCAGGTTGCCCGGGCAGGGCAGCCCTTCAGTCGGAGTCAGAGTCAGAATTCTCTTCTGGAAGGGAAGTAAAGAGGGGCCTGGCAGGAGATTCCTGGCTGGTGGCACCCAGGAGCCATCTCTGGGGAGCTCCCAGCTCAAGCTCCTCCTGCTCTTGGTGGGTCTGCTTGGTGGGGGGGGGCCCAATGCCCTCTCCTCTGGGGCTCCATGTGCCCCAGTCTCCCTAAGTTCTCACTTGGGGTGCTAGGGTGGTACAGCTATACCCCAAGCCCACCCCACAACCCAGCAGGAAAATGAGGGAAAACTATTTCCCTTCAAGAAACTCAATATACTAGAAAATCAAGAAACCTTTCTTTTTGGCGGTTTTATACTTTTAGCCCTCCTGGCCCCATCCTTATTCTATATTGTGATCAGAAGTATGGTGTGGCTGTGTTGTCTGTCACAGATGGAAAACCAGCATCCAACTTGGAGCCTTTTTTCTTTTTCTTTTTTAACTTAGTTAATGGCACAACCACCATTCTGAGCTAAAGGATGGCTGCAGGGACCAGAATGTGTGTCATAACTCCCCTTGGATGTGCAAAGCAGAACAAGCCTGAACTTGCCTGGGTGCTGTGGGCCTTTAAGCCACAGGCAGGCCAGGCTGCAGGGGCCAGTGGCTGGCAGCAGGTGAAGGAACTTGGCTGGCTGCCTGCCTGGGTGCGTGTCAGGGACCATTTCACCAAGATGGAGGTGCTGGGCGTGCCCTCAGCTGGGCCTTCCTGGAAAGGCTGAGGCCCTGGGGAGCCCAGTGGGGACCGGCTCTATGATTAGTGCTGCGTGAAGGGATATGAGAACCAGGCTGTGAAAACACTTCCTGTTCGTGGGGAAAGAATAAAGGCTCCTGTTCCAGCCTCAAACCAGTCAAGGGTGTTCTCAGGGGAGAGCAGGGCCCCTGCCCTGATTGTTCTGGGTGGAAACCCTCAGGGTGGCCACTCACCTTCCGCCTTGTTGGCTGTGGTCTCGTCTGCAGAGCCTCCTTGTTTGAGGAATTTGGCCACATCATTAAAGATCAGGTAGAAGTCAATTGCAAACACAATGGTGGCAAAGAAGCCAAACACCTGTGGGTCACAGGACAGGGTGGACGAGATGGGTCATTAGGGGCTGGGAGTCCCTGGTCCAGGAGCAGCCACCTCAGCCCCACCACCTGGTTTCATTGGCTTGAATAAGCATCTTGGATTGGCAGGCACAGGCCCCTCCCATTAATGACCAATGGGAAAAGGAGCTATTAACTTGGCTGGCAAACAGCCTTTCAAAGCTCATGCAGAGTAGATCTCCAATAAGAGATTTTAGGGGGCCTAAGCAGGGACAAAAATATGCCCCAGATACTAAGCAAGTGTCTCAAGGGGCATAGGGGGCTTTAGGAAGGGTGGGATGAGCTTGAGGGGGCATCACTGGTCACCCCCTTCCCAGGGGAAAGGCAGCTACTCACCCCGGCTGCTTTGGAAGCCCCATCTGAGTATTTGGCGACAGCTGTGATGGAGATGGCAAAGTAGATGAGGGCTGCTGTGACACAGCGCAGGAAGTCCTGGGGAGAGAGACCTGGTCACACTGCCCTGAACTCCCTGGGGTGGGGATACAGCAGGGGACAGGCTCAGAAGCCTACCAGAGGGTAGAAAATGGCTGGAATCCCACTGTTTCCAGAGGAGGGTGGGTCCGGCAGCCAGGATACATGCCTGGCTCCTGGGTCCAGCATCTGCAGGGCTCCCACCCTGTCCTCCTGCTCCTGCTCCAGTGCCTCTTACAGACTACCAGCAGCCGAGGCTGCCATCCTCTGCCCGGGGGACAACGTACGGACCAGGCTGCAGCATGGCCTGTAGGGATCTGGCCCTGGGCCTCACTTTGCCACATACTTGCTGCAGATCCACTTAAGTATTATGGTGTCTGTTTACTTGACCCTAAAATGGGGATACAGTGGCTACAGCCCATCAGGAAAAATGCTGGATATGACCAGTGTTCAAGTACAGACTTGCTGTCCCTTTTCTCCGACCCATTCCATGTAGCAAAGTGTGAGACAGGGCTCTGGGCCCTCCCAGGTGATAAAACGAGTTGCCAGAGGGCTAGGATCTGGGTAAGTCCCGCAAATGCTCAGTTACCCTGCCCCACCCATTTGGAAGTGGCTTGAATTTCTGCGGGCTCATTCTTGCAGGCTCAGCTGGGAGCACCAGTGCCGCCTGGTGGCCAAGGGCAAGAATGCAGCCTGAGGTTCCCTGCCTCACAGAGGGACCCCAAGGTCCTGATCTGGTCACATGGCTTCCTGAATAGTAGGGCCCAGACTATCTGAAGCCAGGCCATCTTGCCTGGCTCCAACCAACAGCAAACAGCCCCTCCCTCGCACTGAAGAAAGGGCAGGGCCCAAACGCACAACTCTGATGGCCAGCTAGCTACTTCCCCTTGGGGCCCCAGCCCTCACCATCATGGGCCAGCATAAGCCCTGCCACTTGTCATTCAACTGCATGGCGTCAGCAAAGAGGAAGAAGAGGGCCAGCAGGAACTCCAGCAGGGGCGCAGTGAGGAAGGCAGATGCTGACGACGCCACATAGCAGACAAAGGTGATGAAGGAGAGACCCTGGTTGGAGTGGGGAGGGAAAAGTCAGAGCCCCTGTCCAGTGCCCCTCTAAGCTTCCCTGCAGTCAAGAGCAGAGGAGGTTTCGGTACAGGAGGCGACCTGTGCTCAGTCCCGAAGCTGCCAGCATTAGAATCTGTTCGTGAGGCCTGGGCTCATACACGTGTTGCCCTTGGTGTTTCTGGGCATGGCCCTGAATCCTGAACCCCATGCCAGCGCCCTGCCAGGACCCAGTCAGGAGGTCCCAGCCTGCCAGTGTCCTGCTCCCCAGGAGGCCACCCTCTGGGGCTGCTCACCCCCACCCTGACCCCAGCAGGCTCTGTGGCAGAACCCACCCAATTCAGAGGATGCCCAACAGGAGCTAATCAAACCTAAGAAGTCTCAGAGGCAGCCCACTAAGCAGGAACCAAATCCCCCCAAAATCACTCCCAACACACAAGATTTGTACTTTACACTGAAAGACAATAAATCTTATGTTTAATTAAGGATATGGATGCTGAAGTGCTTAGAGATGTAATGTACTGATATCTTCAATTTGCTCTTAACTCGTGGAGAAATAAGATGGATTGATAGGCTGATGGAGAGATAGGCAAGTATAACAACGTGGTAACAACTGTACAATCTAGGTGGTGGGTATCCGGGTGTTACCAGCATAACTCTTGCAGCTTTTGAATACATTTGCAATTTTTAGTAATAATATAAAATAAACCTCCAGGAGAGCAGTGTTGACACGGATGCCTTGGGCCCTGCTGGTCTGTGGGTGAGCTGCACTGAGGCCTCCAAGAGTGAAGATGTTCTCTGCAGCCCCGTCCGTACACCACGCACGTGTTGGAACTGATGCTGGCAGACCTGGGGAGCCCCCAGGCAGTCCTGCAGACTGGGTGCTGCAGAGCAGACCAGGTGACAGCGCCGGGTGTTGCGAGGGTGCCCCTGAGGCTTGGGGGATCTCCTGCAATCCTCACAACCATGTGCCAGGAGCTGCTCCCAGCCCACTTTACAGATAAGAAGACTGAGGTTCTCAGAGGTGAAGTGATGGCTCAGTGTCATGCAGCTATTAAGAGGACACCAGGATTTGAACCCAGGGCTGACTTGACCCCACACAGGCAACACCCACAGGGCAGGGCTTTTATCTGCCCTGGTTTCTGCACTGTGTCTGGGTCTGTACATGTCCATGGCTGAGCCCGGAGTGGGGCCCAGGGGCCTCAAGGGATACCCATGTGCCCCACAGGAAGCACTGTGGCCGCTTTAGGCAAACGAGCTACAGAGATCTCAGGGAGTCCCCAGGGCACTCACATCTGTTCTGAACGCAGCCATGAGGGTAGCTGAGTCAGACTTGAATAGAAACTAGGGCACGGAGGCAGCTAAGAGCCTGCTAGGGCCCCCCCCAGGGTCCCCAGGAAGGCAAGGCAGGGACCCTGACCCGGCCTGTCCACAGCTCCTGCGACACTTACTCTGTGGTGGGCTGTTTTTGCATCCCTCTCCTTCCTGTTCCCTGCCCCCCCCCCCCCCCCCCCCCGCCCGAAGCCTGATCCTGGGGATCCCCCTCTTGATCCCTGTTTCCTCATTCCTGGACTCCTGGTAGCCAGTTCCTCCCCCTTGCTGTCCAGTCAGCCTCCCCATTTGCTTGGGCCTGGGGGCAGGCATGACCTGGAGCAGCTCCCCTTGTGACTTCAGTGCTCATCCTCCTTCCTGCTCCTGGTCCTGCCAGACTGAGATTCCTGACACCCACCTATGCCCTGACCTCCTCTGTGCTCTGGCCAGCTACCCCTTGACCTAAGAGGGGGGCCTGAGTGCGGTGGGTTTGCGGTACCCTCAGTGGGTGGTGTATTCAAGGCTTCTCCCCAAAAGTAGTTCCCATCAATCTCTTGGGTGGGGCTGGGGTGGCCAACCGGGAGGCGACCCCTGGAAGTGAGGACTGTTGGTGGGTCCTGGCGCCTCACTTGGGAGTTGGGCAGGTCCTAGGCTGCCCACCTCTGGGCTGATCCCAGGCACAGCAAAGGTGACAGAGACACCAACTGCCCCCTGAGGTCAAGGCAGAGTCCTCCTTCCTCTGACCCCCGCCCCTCTCAGTCCTTGCTGTCACCTGGCTCTCATTTCATCCACTTGTCAAATCCCCTAGGGTGCTCTGGCCTCAACTTTCTTGTCTGCAAAGTGGGAATGAAGACAGGGGCTGTCAAGTTAATGGGGATCTAAGTAATAAATGTCCCTCCCTCATCCCGTGTCCCCTCTGCATAGTGTCCTCCTCTTCCCTCCACCCAGGCCCAGAACGAGCCCCCACCGGACAAGCGGACAGTGCGGGAGTTTTCGCAGTGTCCGGAGGACAAAGGCCTGACTGGCCAGGGTGGGGGGTGCGGGAAGGAAGAGCTCAGTGGGGGCGGGGCGGCTGGATCCCGACCAGGAAGGGGAGGAGGGGGATGAAGTCACCACGCTGACGCTGGGCTCCGGCCCCCGTCCCTCGGCCTGTGTCCCCCCCACAGTGCTGCTTGGCCTCACCCAATCCCGGGGGCTCCTCTCCCCACTCTTTGCTGTCCCCACCCCAGTTGGATGGACTCCACTCCGGCCTCCGCCCTGCAGCTCGTGGCCCAGCTGGCCCTCCCTGCACCCCGGAAAGCGGGCAAGGGCATCCCTACCCGGGGGTCGTGAAGGGCGGAGGGGTTGATTCCTCCAGGCGCCCAGAGAGGGCAGAGGCGCCCGAGGTCACACAGTGCCGGGCTGCATTTCCAGGAGCCCAGGACCCCTCTCCAGGCTTCCCCCAGCTTTGCACTAGCGTGTTGAAGACCCGGGAAGTCGGTTCAGGCCCCGCCTTGCCTCTGACCCGCGCGCTGAGCTTAAGCGAGTCAGTCCGAACCGTGGGCAAGTTTGCCCACTGGACTGGGCCTCCAGAGGGGTCGGCCGAGCGCGTTCCGAGGCGCCGCCTAGGGGGCCCGCGGGAGGGGGCCGCGCTGCACTCACCGACTCCGCCAGCAGGAGGCGGCCTTTGAGCGAGCAGAGAAAGGCGCGCGCGGGCAGGAGGGCTCGGAGCCCGGGGACCGCCGCGCCAGACTGGGAGCGGCCGGAGGGCTCGGGGTCCGGGTCGGGGTCCGGGTCGGGGGGCCACATGACGGCGACAAGAACAAAGCTCGGTCTTGCTCCCTCACGCCCCGCACCCAGGAGGGAAGCGGAAACCCAGACTGTGCGGAAGGAGTGAAAAGCTAGGCGAGCTCGGCGCAGGGGCGCATCCCCCCCGCCGCCCCGCCCCCGCCCCGCCCCTCCCCTCCCCTCCTCCTGCCCCCTCCTCCGCTCCCACCTCCCCCTCTTCCGCCCTCATTCCTTCGCCTCCCCTCCTCCCCTCGGACCCCGGCTGCCCCGGTCTGGGGCTTCCGCACACCCCTCACATTCTCCTCGCACCCCTATCCAGGAAGCTCGAGACCTCCTCTTTGCCACCCCCGAACACCCCGTCGGAGCTGCCACCCGTCCGTCCTTGCCCAGAAGGGTTGCTTTACACTCCGTCGAGCTCCGTGCCCGGGCACAGAACTGGAACCCCGGACCCTGGCGTCCAAACTGTGGCAGCTCCCCACCCCGCTCTTTTTCTCCCTGGGCCTTTCCGCCTCGCTTCGCCCCCATTTATTCCGGGCGGGTGCCCAGGCACACACCTCACAGCCTACACACAACACGGCACAGCACAACCCCGCCCGCGCGCACGCACGTCTTCAGGGCGTCGCTTCAGTGTGTCCAAGGCCAGCCCGTGACACTCTCGCGCCTCCGCGAGGGGCGCTGACGCCCCTCCCCCAGGGCCAGAGCCAGGCCAGAGCCCTGGGGGTTGTCCTTTTTCTCCACATCCTCGCCACGAAAGCCGCCCGTCTTCATCTGCTAAACTTTCTTTCATCTCCGCCCACTTCCCACCACTACCAAGGCGTCCACTAGATCCCAGGCCACTCCTCCCTCCTCCCCACACTGTTCCGAGGAAGCAGAACTCTGCTCTACTTCACTTGGCATCGAAGGGATCCTCAGTCACGGTCGCCTCCGTCTCCTCACCCGAAAAGGTCTGGGAGTTTCCCACCTTGGTCAGGGTCCTAGTATAGGGCGAAACATAACCCCCTTGCTGCCCTCTCCTCTGTCTCTCTCACCCATCTGCCTTCTCACAGTTTCTTACACAAACCAGGCTCCTTCTGCGGCGGAGCTTTGCATCAGCAGTCTGCCCCCTCTGCTTGGAGTGCGCTTTCTCCTCCCTCTTTAGTCTTCTGTGCTCATAATGCGGCATCACCTCCTCAGGGAAGACCTCGCCGGCCTTTCCAGCTAGGTAAGAGGCATTCATTCATTCATTCATTCACTCATTCATTCAACAGCAGGGCTAGAAGCCCAAGATGCAGAGACTCCCCAGCTTATTTTGGGGGTGTGGGTGAACACTAAATGTGTCCAGAGAGTTCTGAATAAGTTGATTGCTGGTGATGGATGTCTGGCCGGTTCAGAGGGCCACCAGGCAGCCTGTGTGTCAGAAAGGATTGAGCTAAGGGACAGCAGGAGGAGGCAGATTGTGGAGACCCAGGCCCTGGTGTTTGGGATTTACCCCAAATTCCCTGGGAGGAGGCCAGATGGGGGTTGGAACGGAGGGACCACCTTGTTCTAATCTGTTCATTAAAATGTGGCTCAAAACTGCAACTCAAATAATAAAATAACCGAATTTTTAAAAGGGGCCAAGTATTTGAACAAACAATTCAACAAAGACGTATGAGCCCCCGATAAGCACATGAAAAAGACGCTCAACATCATGACAGCTAGACATGCAAATTAAGGTCACAATGAAGTACTACTCTACACCCATTACAATGGCCTAATAAAAAGGGATGCTACTGTTTAAGCGCTGGTGAGGATGTATAGCCAGCCGATGGAGATCTCGCTCACAGCTGATGGGGTGGAGATTGTTACAGCCACTTGGGGAAACAGTTTAGCCACTTTTGAAAAAGTTAAACAGAGGCCTGCCATACGACCCAGTCATTTTACTTGTAGGGATTTACCCAAGAGAAATGAAAGCGCATGTTCATACCAAGGCTTGTACACGAGTGGGCACAGCTGTAATTTTAACAGCTTACTGTGGAAATCACCTGCTGGTTCAACAGGGGAAAGGATGAACTAATGGTAGGACATCCACATGAGAGAAAGCTTCTCAGAAATAAAAAGGGATACATCACTGATAAATGGAACAACATGGGTGCATTTTGTAGATACGATGTTGAAAGAAAGGAGCCAGCCACAAAGGGTACGACGTACTATGATTCCATTTTCATGCTAGAATGGGTGAAACTGGGCTGCGGTGACAGAAATCAGACCGGTGGTTACCTGAGGTGGGTGGGGCAGGAGGGAACTTTCTGGGGTACTGGGAATTCTTTATTTTGACTGGAGCTGTGGTTCCACGGGGACATACATTTGTCAAAACACTTCAGACTGTACGTGGGTGCATTTTATCTCATGTAATTGATATCTCAATTCTCAGACAGCATACAAAAAGAAAATATGGTGACAGGCAGGAGTGGCAGAGAGGGCCCAGGGAGAGGGCAGGGACACCCTGGTGAGTGCCCCTGCTTGAGGTGACTAGGCACCCGGGTCCACTGTCCGTCCTCCCACAGGCTGTGGGCTCCCTGGGGGACCAGCCCCAGCCCAGCACCTGTCACACAGGGTGGCACCAGGAACAGAGGAGGGTGGCTCTATTCCTTTCACATTCCTTGTGTAAGGCACAGTTTATTCTTTGGGTTATAACGCACTCCTTCCTATAGGGCTTCCTTTTATTGGTTGTTGTTCCACCTTTGGCCATTAGGTGGGCCCCTGTCTAGCTAACTTACTCCCCCCCATTTCCTTATTTCCTGACCCTATGCTTCAGGTTCACTTTGTATTCTCCCCATTCTGGCTCTAGAATTAGCCAATTCTCCAAGACCCTCTGGTGCATTTTATTGAAGAATGGTATTTAGAAACTAGAATCTCTCCTGGCACTTTTAATTTGCATTTTTCTAGTTATGAGTGGCACAAGCACTTAAAAAAAAAGTATTTGAGAGCCATTTGCATTTACTTTTCTGAGAATAGACTTTTCACATCATTTATTTTTTCCTATTAATTTTTTAAGTTGATACCTAAGAACACATATACAAGAAATTAGTCCTTTTTCTGAAATGCTATATTTTTTCCTGATATGTCTCTTTCATTTTGTGTCTTTACCACACAATTTTTTTCTTTTAGAACTTGCTGTTTTCCTCTTTTAATCTATAAACATTGTAAATGACAGTAGTGGTTTTCCTAATTCTCACCATCCTCACATTTGTGGGATGTGCCTTTCTTGTTCAGGGTGTCTGCTCTTTTGCTAAACATCTGCATTTATATTGATAGTATTTTATTTATTTATTTATTTTAATTAAATGTATTTTTATTTTATTGATTATGCCATTACATTTGTTCTATTTCCCTCCTTTGTTCCCTTCCACCCTGCATACCCCTCCCCCACCATCCTCCCTTTTAGTTCAGGATCACATGTCTCAAGTTTTTTACATTCTATATTTCCCCTACTATTCTTACCACCCCCCCATCTATTTTCTATCTACGATCTATGCTACTTATTTTCTGTACCTTCTCTCCCCTTCTCCTTCTCCTTCTCCCACTCCCCTGTTGCTAACCCTCCTTAAGATCTTCATTTCTATGTTTCCACTCCTGATCTAGCTGTCCTTTTAGTTTGCTTTTGTTTTAGGTGTGGTTGTTAATAACTGTGAGTTTGCTGTCCTTTCACTGTTCATCTTTTTTTAACTTCTCTTTCTTAGGTAAGTCCCTTTAACATTTCATATAATAAGGGCTTGGTGATGATGAACTCCTTGAATTTGATCTTATCTGAGAAGCACTTTATCTGTCCTTCCATTCTAAATGAAAGTTTTTCTGGATAGAGTAATCTTGGTTGTAGGTCTTTGGATTTCATGATTTGGAATACTTCTTTCCAGCCCCTTCTTGCCTGTAAGGTCTCTTTTGAGAAATCTGCTGACAGTCTGATGGGGACTCCTTTGTAGGTGACTGTCCCCTTATCTCTTGCTGCTTCTAGGATTCTCTCCTTCATTTTAATCTTGGCTAATGTAATTATGATGTGCCTTGGTGTGTTTCTTCTTGGGTCCAACTTCTTTGGGACTCTCTGAGCTTCCTGGATTTCCTGGAAGTCTATTGCCTTTGCCAGATTGGGGAAATTCTCCTTTATTATTTGTTCAAATGCGTTTTCCACTGGTGGCTGTGCCTTTCCCCCTTCTGGTACCCCTATAATTCAGATGTTGGAGTGTTTAAAGATGTCCTGGAGGTTCCTAAGCCTCTCCTCATTTTTTTGAATTCTTGCTTCTTCACTCTTTTCTGTTTGGCCATTATTTGCTTTCTTCTGGTCTACTCCATTGATTTGAGACCCAGTTTCCTTTTCATCGCTATTGATCTCCTGTGTAATTCCATTCATTTCAATTAGTTTAGCCTTCATATGTATATCTAATTTGTGGCTATAATCAACCAGTTCTGTGAGGATCCTGATCACCAGTGTTTTAAACTGTTCGTCTGAGAGTTTTGCTATTTCTTCATCGCTTAGATTTATAGGCTCTGGGGCTTTGAGATCTTCTTGAGCCATTTTGTTCTGTTCACTCCTGTTAAGTACGAGGAGGGGAGCCTTGGACTCCCAGGTCGCTGGGTTGTGACGCTATATGTGGGGGCGTGGTCAGAGTGGGGAAATGGCGGCCCCCTCTGCTGTTTCTTGCAGGTGGGTGAGGAGCAGAGCCTAAGGTGGTTCACCAGGGCAGGGCTACTTAGGTCGCTGGGTTATGACGCTGTATGTGGAGGCGGGGTCAGAGCGGGGAAATGGCGGTGCCCTCTGCTGCCGCTCGCCACTGGGGCCTGCTGGGTCTCGTCCAATGGCCCACTCCCTCGCTTGTCTATCCACGCATGGATGCGAGACCACAGTCAACCCGCAGCCCTGCTCCCTGGCTGTTTCCCGTGGTCACTCGCTGAGTTGCCCACCAGGTCCAACCCTGTGCCTGGATTCCGAGCGCCTGAGTCCGTCTGACCGAGTTTTCCTGTGCAACCGTGCTCCGCCAGCTGCTGGTTTCACCCCTCTTACCGGTCAGGCTGAAGAATTTGTTGTTATCAGACTTCCAAAAAGTTCAATTTTCTATGTTCTGGCTGTGTTTTCTGTTGCTAATATTCAGTTGTCTCTAAACTTGGTTGTGTGAGGAAGCACTGCGTCACCACCTGTGCCTCCATCTTGGCGGAAGTCCAATTTTTTCTATACTTTTGTGGTTAGAAATAATAAAATTTAGGATTCTACACAAAAAATTATTAAAATTCTTTAATTTTTATTATTTCTAACCACAAAAACCAAGAACGGCACACAAAATTTCCAATTTTATTATTTATTTTGTTCAGAGAATAGTTCTATATGTTCTGCTTTTTGGAATTTTTGAGATTTTCTTTGTGTTCTAATAGTTGATATATTTATCTATGTATCATATGTATCATTAATTATGTAATTTTAACCCTCCGTATACTTATGCTTTTTTCACTTGATGACTTAACTTACTAAAACATGTGTACAGGGCAGGGCAAAAGTAGGTTTGCAGTTGTTAGTGGGTGAAACAGAGTTTATGCTTGTGTTATTATTTATTTATTGTATTATTTTCCGTAAGAACAACTATCAACCTACCTTCTCCCCACTGTGTATTAAAGCAACTCACTAAGGTTTTAGGTGTATTACTGAGTCTCTGCATTTCTAATAGTTTTTTTTTTTTGAGGCTCTGGTGTTTAGGTGTATAAAAGTTAACATATATTTTGTTCAGGAGAGTATAGCAATTAAGAGCATAAGCTCTGGGTTTAAAATGTAAACTTCTGCTAATTTAACTTCTGCTATTTTAACTTCTTGTTTTCAGTTTCTCCATCCACGAAACAAGGATAATGACATTACCTAAGTCATGATTATTGTTAAGGATTAAGTGAGCTAATATATAAATATCTTAGGACAATGCCTGGCACATAAGTTTTTATTAACTTAAGTTTTTATTAACTTAATAGAACATCTTCTTCCTATCTTTGAATTCTATTTAATATTAATTTCACCACCCCTACTTTCTATTTGTTAGCATTAGTCTGGAATATCTTTTCTACGTGTTTCTCATATAAGCTCTTAATTCTGTAATTATCTAAGTACAACGTCAGTTTCACAAATTTGATGTGTTTTCATGTTTGTTCAAAATATTTTCTAATTTCTTTTGAGACTTTACTTTTGACCCACAGATTAGTTGGCAGAGTGATATTGAATTTCTAAACGTTTGGAGATTTTTCAATTATTTGTTATTAATTTTCAGCTTAATTCTGTTATGGTCAGAGAACATACTTTGTATGATTTAAATTCCTTTAGATTTATTGGAGTTTGTGTTAGGATTCAGGGTATGGTTTTTGGACCTCCTGGATCTGTCTTCCCTGTTTCTCTTCATTTCTTCTAAAAAAGTCTTCTCGTCTTTTGGGTTTCCTGGACTTGATTTTCCAAGGTCATTAATTGTCCATTCTATTATTCAACTTTTCTGTTAAAACTGAAAATCTTTGTCATAGTCTCCCTTGTTGTTCCCCTCCTCACCCCGGCCCGTTGTTAGCTTATTGCCCATTTTTACAGTCTCTCTGGTTTTAAAGACACACTATCCATCTTTATTCTGAACGTTCTAGTTAGGATTTTTTAGAATCTGCATTTTGACCAGATCCGTAGGTGATAACACCCCTCTCCTGCCCATTCCGTCCCTGTGCCTGGCGGATACTCACCTCCTGTAGTTTTGCTCTGAATGGGCATCTGCCTGTAGTCTATGGTGGCCGGGTATGGCCCCGTCTCAGTCCCCTTCTCAGCATAACAGGTGGCTGCCTGGAGCCTTGGTCAGCTCTCACCTGCCCCACTTCACGCCTGCCCAGCCTGGGTGTGGAGAAACTGCCCACTTCACATTGCTGCCCTCCTGGGGGGCAGGAGTGGCTGCACAAAGGGGGTTAGCAAGGCCCACCCTCTTCCAGTGGCTTCTGAGCACAGTCACATTTACGTTCTTAGGTGAAATTTGCGGACAATGAAATGCACGGATCTTAAGTACACAGTTATCTGTTTGACGGATGTGTGCACCTGTGTAACCAGTCCCCCCAGTGAAGGTATAAGACATTCCCACGCCCCCTCTCATGCTCCTTTGTGATCAAGCCCGGTCCTCCACCTCCGCATGTAACCACTGTTTTCATTTCTTTCACTGCATCTCCCCCTGTGCTTGAACTTCATAGTCGTGGGATCACATGGCATGACCTCCTTTTGGGTCTGATTTCTCTCACTCAGGACTCTGCGAGGTTCGTCGTTATGAACCGTTTATCACCATGCGCCGTCTAGTGCCAGGAGCTTGTTTTTATTGCTGAGCACAGTCTATTGTGGGAATGTAGCCCAGTGTGTCTCCTTTTAAACATTCGGACTCTTTTTAGCTTTTTTGGCTGCAGTGAACATTCTAGTACATCATTCCTCTTGGCTAAATATCTAGGAGGGGAATTGTGGGTCCTACGGCAGGATAGTATACATTTTTTAAAGTTTTTTTTTTTCCCCCCCTAGAATGTGAATCCCTGTAAGTATTCCCTTTTGGTAGGGTTGCCTCACCCAGCATGGCCAGCAGGGGGTGGTGTGGGGGCTACAGAGATGGACTTGAATGGTAGAGGCACTGTGGGTGGGGCCAGCGGCAAGGCACTGTCCCAAGTTACCCATTTACCAGGGACCTGCTCCAGCCCCGATCTTCCCCACCCTAATGACAGGTGGCTGCCTCTTTCTCAGCAGCGGCCGAGTGTCATCTCCTCCCAGTGGAAGCAGACCTTGCCACTTTCTTGTCCTCAGGGATCCCCATCAGAGGCCCAAGTCTTCACCCTGGCAGCCTAGGCCCCGCTGACCCTCCTCACGGGCCTCTCACATCATCCCCAGCTGGGCTTGCCTCCCAGGCCCGCACATGCGCACACATGCACGCACACACACAGACCTCCCCCAGCTCTTCATGCAGCAGTGTGGGTCCTCACTTTCCTCTTATGAGGATGACTCTTGTCCCGCCAGGGTGGCTGGACCATTGGGTGAGAGTGGGGCCCTGACTGAGGCCTGCCTGTGGGAATTGTGGCTCTGGGGCTCAGCTGGGGCTAGTTTAGGGCTTATGCTCAGGTCTTCCCTGGACAGTGGTGATGCTGCAGGTCTGGGGCCCCTGCAGTGAGGACCAATACTGAGCTACAGAGTCAGAATCAGGCACGACAGCCACATCGTTTCTCGCATAGCGACTACCCGGGTGCTTTAAGAATACACATAAAATAAAAATCAACACAATCAAAATGCATCCTGTCATTTTAGGTCTCCTTCACCTCCGGCCCCTTTGGCTGGTCAGTGCTGACAGCCAGTGTCGCCCAGACTTCTGGTCCCCAAACCCTCTGCGCCCTGCCACCTCCAGTGCCTGGAGAGGGTTGGCCCTCACCTCACTCTCTGCACCAAAACTTTTGGGAACTTGCATCAAATGAACAAAAAATCCATTTCAAGAGAATTTCTTTTCCAAGCAGAGGTGGTTATTTAAGTGGAAAGGATCATTACGCAGACAAGGAAGACAGTGGAACTATGCTTTGTTGTAAAATATGCTGCCATTTCTGACAATAGGTGTCTCCTTTATGTCATTTCTTGCTTTTCTTCCTCTTAATCCCCTTGTCCTTGGGCTTTCCTTCTTCCTTGGGCTTTCCTTCTTCCTTGGGCTTTCCTGCTCCCAGTGCTTTTTCCTCTTCCTTTCCCTTTGCAGGCGGCTCTGGCTTTCCTTTCTCCTTTTTCTGAGGAGCAGCCAGCACATTCCTTTGGATCTTCTTGCCTCTGAAGTGTTTTCTTTGAAGACATATATCGATTAAAGGGAAAAATGCAGCCACAGCAATGAGGACCTGGAAAACAAAAGGAGCCTTATTATTTTTGCTTTTCATTCCGAAGCTGCCATAGTTCCTTCCTGGTTTCTAGTTTGTAAGTATGTGCTGTTCAACACCCCTTGTCCACCTCCAACGACCAGACCCCAGAGACTGAGCTCCCCTCCCCCACCGCCCTGTCGCTCCACTGCTTCTTTCTCTCTTGAAACCTGGCCAGGGTGGGCCTTTTGCCTCTGGGTCAGCAGCTACGAGGAGGAAGCTATTAGTGTGGCTGGCTCCCTAGACTTCATCTTTATTTAAATGGTTTCTCAGCTGGAAAAATTTATCAGCTTTCCTTTCAAACTTTGCTTGGGTCTCAAGATTCTGTGAAAAGGAAAGAAGCCCTGTTCTTCAAATGTGGAAAACACCCATTCTCCAAAAAGAGGTGATTTCTGAGCAAATAACCAGGCCAACCAGGAAGACTCACCACAGCGACCACGTAGTACACGGGCATGGTTTGTCGAGTTTGCACAGCAAGCACTGCAGCCCCGATCAGGAAGAGGGTGGCAAACAGGTCGTTGAGAATGTCCTGAAACCACGGGAGAGATGAGTGTCAGCTCGAAACAGAGCCAAGGCCCCACTGGCACCTGACCTGGCAGAGCGCATGGCTTCCTCCAAAGAGAATGATTTCCAGACTCCTGCCTAATTTTAAATATATATATGTGTGTGTGTGTATTAAATAGTCTGTCTGGAAAGAGTCCAGCTATTGTTAATATAATGAGAACAGTTTCCTGACATTGATGTAACCTGGCAGCCAAGGAGAGTGGACTGGATTGTGCAAGCGAACAGTGAAGACTTCACTGTACTAGTCAGTGGGGGCAGAAGATGCTATTGAGTGAGCACGTGTCCTGTGTGGCCATCACATTCAAAATGACTGAGCCAGTAGAGCAACGAATCTGCATCAGATTTTGCATTAAGCCTGAACATTCTTCTACGGAACCTATTCGGATGATTCAGAAGGCTTTCGGGGACAATGCAATGAGTGCAGTGAAAATAAAAGTGTGGCACAGATGCTTCAAAGACGGTCGAGAATCTGTTGAAAGTGATCCACATTCTGGATGGCCTGCAGCAAGCAGAACACGTGAGAATGTTGAACTCATATAGGTTGCAATCAGCAAAGATGAGTGATGGGCAGCGCGAGAACCAGAAGCTGAGCTGGGGGTTCCAAAAACTACTGTGTCCGCGATTTTGATGCAGGATCCTGGCATGAAACATGTGGCAAAATTCATTTTGCAGCTTCTGCTACCAGAACAGAAGGAACATTGTACTGCGGTTGTTAATGACTTGATTCAAACTGCTACCAATGAACCAGCTTTCCTCAAGAAGGTCATAACTGGAGATGAATCGTGGGTCTATGGCTGTGATCCAGAAACAAGGCCCCGTTGTTCCAATGGAAGTTGCCTGGTTCTCCACACCTGAAGGTGGGGAAAAGTCGCAGCAAGATCAAGACCATGTTAACTGTGTTTATTGATTGGAAAGGTGTTGTCCATCACAGGTATGCCCCTCCAGGCCAAGCAATTAAGGAGTACTACCTCAGTGTTCTTCATCAGTTCAGAGATGTAATACAATGAAAATGGAGGCAGCTATGGGCAACTGGTGATTGGCAGCTTCAGCACAACAATGCACCTGCTCATGCATTATGTCTTGTGCAGAGTTTTTTGCGAAACATCAAATCACCCAGGTGACTCAGCCCCCTACAGCCCAGATTTGGCACCCTGTGACTTCTGGCTTTCCCCCAAACTAAGGTCACCTTTGAAAGAGAAGAGATTTCAGAATTTCAGACCAGTAGTGAGATTCAGGAAACTAGGATGGGGCAGCTGATGGTGACTTGGAGAACTGCGTGAGGTCCCAGGGTGCCTCCTTCAAAGGGGACCGAGGCCTCATTGTCCTATGTACAGTGTTTCTTGTATCTTGTATTTTCTTCAATAAATGTCTCTGTTTTTCATTTTGCATGGCTAGATACCTTCTGGACAGATATATCTATATCTAATCTGTATCTCTATCGTCTGTATCTCTATCTATCTATCTATCATCTATCTATCTATCTATCTATCTATCATCTATCTATCTATCTATCTATCTATCATCTATCTATCTATCTATCTATCTATCTATCTATCTATCTATCTATCATCTATCTATCTCCATATATCTCTAATCTGGCTTGGTGAACATACCTGTGGTCCCTCAGCTGGGCTCTTTGAGTTGAGACCCAAAGTTCCCTCTGCTACCATCTCATCCATGAAAGCATACATTGAATGGCTAGTTGTGTTGGTGACCCCCTGCCCTGCCAGCACTCATTTAAATAAATGCAAAACTATTTAACATAATGACGTCCCTCATAAGCACCATCCCGATCATCTTTCTGCTCTCAGGACCAGTTTCCCACTCTGGAGCCGGGCAGGCTGTATTGCTGGTGGGAGGCTCTGTTGGACTCGGGTAGTCTCACTGGGAGATTGGCAGCTGCCTTTTCACCCCTTGCCCCCCATCTTACTTCCCAGTGGCACCCCCCCCTTTGCTAGGCTTTACTACCTCCTCTATAATCAAACCTCTTTCCCATTTCTCGTGGCCTCGGTCTTGCCCTCTTCCCACACTTGTTTCCCTTTACCCTACCGACAAGGTCCTGATGTTCCCAGGGTGGGCAAAAGGGCTGCGCCGCTGTTTCCTGGCTCAGCCAAACTCGTCGGAGTTGGCCAGACCACAGCCACAGCCAGCTGCTTCCGCCCCCATTGCTCCTGGGGTGATGCTAGCCCTGAGCTGTGCACCCCTTATTCAGGGGGCCATCATGGGCCCTGCAGCGATGAATGGTTGATGCCCACGTTTTCCTTAGGTTTCTAGGATGCTGTTTTCTGCACATCGTCCTTCTCCGATCACTCTGTCCCAGGCCTTTTCTTTTCCCTTTCCACGTTTTGAACTTTAACACATTTCAAACAAAGAAAATAATAAAATACCCCATTCCTACTCCCACTTCCACCAGCCATGAATCACTGACATTACATAGGTGTTAATATCTTGCAGTATTTGCTTCAGGTCTCTTTAAAAGCAATCGACCAAGCAAACAAACACACAAAACAGAAGTGAACCTTGGTGAAGTGGGCTACAGTCTCACCATTCTGTCCCTTTTTCTGCCCCTGCGTCTGAGGCAACCACATATTGGAAGCTGATGGGTAGATTTTCCAAGTGTGTATTAGTATTTCCCTTAACATGCTGTACTCATAATATATACTATTTTGTGTGTTTCAAACATGTTAATTTAAATAAAAGATATTATCTTCTAGCACTTGGTTTTTAAACTCAAAATTTTTGAGATTTATCCATTTTGAGATATGCAGATTGAATTCACTGATTTTAACTGAGGTATCCTACTGTTTGAATAAACCAAACGAGAGACATCAGGTTGTTTCTGCTTTTCATTTAAAAAAAATACATTGTTTGACTTGAGAGAATGAAAGAGAAATGGCGATTTGTTGACGGGGATCAAACCCACAACCTCAGCATGTAGGGATGACGCTCTAACCAGCTGAGCTACCTGGCTGGCCTTTGTTTCCACCTTCCAGAAGATTATACAAACTGCTACAGTGCATGCTCTTGTCTGTGCCTCCTATACACATCTTCTCCTTGACTAGGTGTTGCCAACGTTCTCTCTAAAGTGCTCGTGCCAGTTTCTGCTCATCCCAACAAGGTACAGGGGCTTCCGTTTGCCATGTGCTTGCCAACACCCAGGATCACTAGGCTTATTTAGTTTTGCCTGTTTGGTGAGTCAAAATGCTACCTCACTGTTGCTGTAAATTTCCAGGGCACCAGGTACTAGTGAAGCATTTTTAGAAACATGTTTTAGGCATTTGTGTTTGCTGCCTATTTATATCCTTTATTCCATTTTTCTGCTGGCTTGTATAAAGATTTTTGTTTATGACATCTTCTGTTGTAAATTCTAAATTATAATGGGTTATATAGCTCCCCTCTCCCAAGAACATGTGGTAAAGGTTCCATTCAACTGTTCTGTATAATACCACCTCTGTTATGTACCAAGTTGCTGTATGTATGTAGGTCTGTTTCTGAGATGTCTTTTCTATTCCAGTCTTAGTTTGCTCAGGCTGCTGTAACAAAAAACCACAGACTGGGTAGTTTAAACAATGGACACTTATTTTCCCACAGTTCTAGAGGCTAGAAGTTCATGATCAAGGTGCCAGAAAATGTAATTTCTGGTGAGGGCTCTTTCCCTTGTTTGCAGATGGCTGCCTTCTCTCTATGTCCTCACATGACCTTTCCGTGGTGTGTCAGGTGGGGGTGGGGAGAGAGGGGAGGAAGGAGAGCTCTGTCTTTTTTTATAGGAACACTAATCCAGTTGGATTGGGACCCACCCTTATGACCTCATTTAATCTTAATCACTACTCTGTAGGTCCCATCTGCAATTACAGCCACACGGGGTTTAGGATTTAAGCATCTGAAATTCGGGGGTGCACATTCACTCCGTAATAACCCCATTAGTCTTTTTGTCAATCCCGAGCTAGTGCTAAAGCTCTACAGCAGGGGTGTCGAACTCATTTTCACTGGGGGCCACATCAGCCTCGTGGTTGCCTTCAAGGGCCAAATGTAATTTTAGGGCTGTATAGATGTAACTGCTCCGTAACGGTTAAGCGAGAGCTCGGCGCTGCCGCCAGGTGGAAACCAGATGCCGGGCCGGATAAAACAAGGTGCAGGGCCGGATTTGCCATCTGTGCTTTACAGCAATTCAAATACCGTGTGCGTGGTGAGTCGGTCCTTGTAATTCTTTTTATTCTTCCATAAGAATTTTTTGAAGTATATTTTATTGCTTATGCTATTACAGTTGTGCCGTTTATTTCCTCCCTTTTATCCCCCTCTGCTCTGCACTGTCCCTCTCTCCAGCATCCCTCTCCCTTAGTTCATGTCCATGGGTTGTACATATAAGTTCTTTGACTTCTCCACTTCCCACACTATTCTTAACCTCCCCCTGTCTGTTTTGTACCTACCACTTATGCTTCTTATTCCCTATATATTTTCCCCATCCCCCATCCCTCTCCCATCCCCCTATTCTCTCCCATCCCCCTCCCTACTGATAACCCTCCATGTGATCTCCATTTCTGTGATTCTGTTCCTGTTCTAATTGTTTGGTTAATTAGTTTTTTTTTAGGGTCAGTTGTTGATATTTGTGAGTTTGTTGTCATTTTAATGTTCATATTTTTATCATTTTCTTTTTCTTAGATAAGTCCCTTTAACATTTCATATGTTAAGGTCTTGGTGATGATGAACTCCTTTAATTTTATCTGCCCTTCCATTCTAACAGATAGCTTTTCTAGATAGGGTAATCTTGGATGTAGGTCCTTGCCTTTCATGAATTGGGATACTTCTTTCCAGCCCCTTTGTGCCTGTAAGGTCTCTTTTGAGAAATCCGCTGACAGTCTGATGGGAACTCCTTTGTAGGTAACTGTCTCCTTTTCTCTTGCTGCTTTTAAAATTCTCTTCTGCCTTGGCTGGTGTAGCTCAGTGGATTGAGTGTCAGACTTGAAC